CCTTATGGGGCTTCACAGCAGCAGCCCCAGACAGTAGAGTAGACTCAGGAGGGTGAGCAGGCCAAGGAGGCCGAGGAGACAGAGCAGGCACCACAGCCCCAGCTACACCGCTCTGGTCGTACCCGTGTTCTAGTCTCACCGAGGCCGCCGACACAGCGGAGGGGATCACGTCCACCGCCTAGACCACAGGGTTCGCCTCCAGTGACCCATCTTGACTTAAGGGCCACCACGGCTAAGCAGGTTCGGCAACTGAGGTTTGTAGAGTTTGAGGTGTGGTTTTCTCTGAGGAGGGATGAGAGAGCATCTGAGGGATTCTACACACCGCTCCAGGAATATTTTTACAATGCATATCTGAACAGTGGGGCAGTCTTCAGGTCTCAGAGAGTCTGCAGCATTGAGGATATAGTAGCAGCAGCTAGAGAGCATATTCGCCCCTACCTTGCATATCTGCTGGGGCTGACAGATTTGATTGGACGGACAGGACTGTATGTTCCTTCGTGGGTTCGTCAGTTCTATGCTTCCCTCTTTGTTGACCCGCATCATAACTTTATACACTTTGCATTCAGAGGCAGAGACTACAGAATGATGAGTCAGAGGGCCAGGGAGATACTGAGGCTACAGGAGCAGCCTGTCAAGTTACATGAGGTATGTTATGGACAGACATAGCCTCCTAGGCATCCTCATGGTGGTTTGGTGCCCCCTACAGATCTTGTGTGACACTGCTTCAAGGAGCCTTTTGGTGAGGGCTCTCGCAGGAACCCTAGTGATCTTACTCCGACTGCTCGAGTTCTAGAGGCTATTATGCGGAGAACACTGCTTCCTAGGTTGGGATATAGGGAGGGCCTGACACGTATCCAGCTATGGCTTCTCAACGTCCTGATGCAGCAGACAGTGTTTGATGTTTGGGGTCTTATTCTGTCTGAGATGGAGGACACGATAGCTGAGGGCTTCAAGGGTCGCAGGCAGCTTCCTTATGCACATTGGATCACATTCCTTATTCTCAAGGCTGTGCAAGTTAGGACACCAGAGATGGTTGCAGAGTACAGAGGTGCCACCACAGAGTTTCTAGCTTGCTCCTCGTACTTCAGTGCCCAACTCGTCCGCTACAGCCCTGCCGACCAGCTCTTAGGTTTTGGTGTTTGACGCCAAAGGGGGAGAGGATTCGAGTATGTAGACTCAGGGGGAGCGACTTATTTAGGGGGAGCTTAGTTATCTATTAGCTTTTTATCTATTACATTTGGAGTTTCTATTTGTGTGATACACTATTACTATTATGCATTCGTGTGTTTACCTTCATGCATTAAACTATATCTATGTGATAGTGATATCTACATGATTATATATATGACATGTGTGCTCTCTACTTCATAACTATTTATATGTCATATCACTTGTGTTATGTTTATTTGCCTTGCTTCCGCGTTTATACTCCGATGCAAATGAGCTTTATTACTTGTACTCATGCTTATTTAATATCTTTTGAGTACATTATGTTGGCTTGGGTCATAAAAGCTTGCCTAACTCTTTTGTTCTTATTGATAAAAACTTATATGATCCAAGCATGATAAAAACCTCAACTCTTTTCACATACTCGAGGTGGTATTGTCATCAATCACCAAAAAGGGGGAGATTGAAAGCATCTAGGCCCCTTGTTGGGTTTCGATGATTAATGACAATAAAAGATTACTATGACTAACGTGTGTTTTGCAGAGGCAATTAAGTTAGGTCATGGTAATGGAGATCGATTGGGCAATCATAGATGTCACGCCCCTACGATGGAAATCATTTCGGTTTTCAAAGGATGGACGACAAGGTTAAGGATGACTAATTCTAAGTGTCGATTGGAGTTGGAGAGACACTTAGAGTAGTTTAGGACTTTGTTTTTCCTTTGGCCGTACTATTAAGGGGGGGTATGAACGGGTAGCTTAACCTAGGTGAGTCTAGTGAGTTAGGTGTGGTGCACACTTGCTAAGTCTAGCACGAGGTAGCTCCAACAAAGCCCTTAGATCCTTTGGAGCAAACTTCATTCACGTATGATCTAAAGTTGGAAGTGAATGGAGGGTCAAATACTGACCGGACGCTGGCTCCGGTGCGACCGGACGCTGGCCGCAGGGTCCGGTTAGTTCATTTGACCAAGGAGATTGCGTCTAGTGCGACCGGACGCTGAGTGGTCGAGTGACCAGACGCTGGTGGTCGACTCCAGTAAGGTTCCAGAAGAGTAAATCTGCGACCGAACGTGTCCGGTCAATTCTGACTGGACCCTGAGGATCCAGCGTCCGGTCGAGCACAGTAAGCATCCAGTGAGGGAAAAATGTGACCGGACGCGTCCGGTCAATGGTGACTGGACCCTGCCAGCGTCCGGTCAACACTTAAACACTGGTGTGCGGGTTGAAATGACCGGAGCGTCCGGTCACCCCGCAGAGACACATAACGGTTCGTTTTTCAGGCTCTTATAAATAGAAGCTCCACTCGTGTGTGGAGCCACTTCTGCTCATTTCAACAGCTGAAACACATCTTAGAGAGTGCCAAGAAGAGCAAGGTCCTAGTGAGGTGATTGAGATTTGAGAATCCCAAAGAGAGCCCTCATTAGTGAGATCAAGAGTAGCAAAGTGTGCATCCACCCTTCTCCCTAGGCTTGTCGTGGTCAAGTGAGAGTTCGTGCTTGTTACTCTTGGTGATCGCCTTCACCTAGACGGCTTGGTGGTGATTGGAGAGCTTGGTGATCATCCGGAGAGCTTATGGATGACCCAACTCAAGCTGTGAGCGGTTATGGGTGATTCACCACGACGGAGTGTCGAAGAATCAACCCGTAGAGAGCACTTGATCCTTGCGCGGATTAAGGGGGAGCTACACCCTTGCGCGGGTGCTCCAACGAGGACTAGTGGGGAGTGGCGACTCTCCGATACCTCGGCAAAACATCGCCGCATTTCCTCTCCTCTCTTTACTTTGAGCATTTACTTTGAGCATTTCAATTCTTGTCATTTACATTCCTAGAATTGTCATGCTAGAGTAGGATTGGAACTAGGTTGCTCAACTTTTATGCATTAGATCAATAGAAACACTTTTCTAGGCACAAGATGTTAATTGGGCTAACTATAGGACTTGTTTATTGCGAAGAAATTTAGAATTAGCCCAATTCACCCCCCTCTTGGACATCTTGATCCTTTCAGGGTCGAGGAGCCACCGGTAGCGTGGATCGAGGCAGCTGCGCGCTGGCGCGCGGCGACGCGGACGGGGGATGAGCCAAGAGGGGTGGGGTGGGGGCGTGGGGTAGGGGCGGGGGTTAGCCGGTTAGGGATGGCCTGCTGGGGATGGGGGAGGCCGGGCCTTTATCGGGCCTTTCTCTATTTTGCGGGCCATGCTGGGCTGAGGGAGCGGCCTAGGCATGGACTGGTCCTCCGGGCCGGGTTGGCACGGGCCCGGTGACCACCGAGCTGGGCCACAAACCCGTGCCTCGTGCCAGGCCACTGGGCTGCATGCTTAACTTTAGGTTCGATGATATCTGAAAGTTGCCCCAGTCACCCTTCTCCAGTTACAGGAATACAGGTTCCAGCGTAGGTTTGTCTCAGACTCAGATATCAGTTCGGGGTGGTTGGTTCGTCGCTATCCCATCGAATGTTTAAACACATGTATGGAGTATTAAATGTAGATTAATTACGAAATTAAATGCATAGATTGAGACCGTTTTACGATACGAATTTTTTAAACCTAATTAGTCTATGGTTTAACAATGTGGTGTTACAGTAAACATGTACTAATGATGGATTAATTAGACTTAATAAATTCATCTTGTGGATTACTGACGGATTCTGTAATTTATTTTTTATTAGTATCCGAACACCCAACGTGATACCTCCATGTGACACCTTCTCAACTTTAGTCACTGTATCAAACACCCCCTTAATCAGTTTCAAAGAGAGTCCGAAGAACTTTGTGGAAATGAATGCTTTATGTCCCGTGAAAGTACAAACACAGCGAGAATATATAGATTGAAAAGTAATCTAAAAGCTCAGATTCAGCATTTATCGCCTCAATGCGCAACTATAAACTGTTGCCATGTCTGGACTAGCAGACTCATCTAGACCACCAAAATGAAGAGAAGTGATGCAAAGCTGAAATGTTTGTATCCTTGGTAACAAATCCGCGAGAAACATTCAGAACCTAATATGCACAAATCATATTTCCTTACAAATATTGGTGTTTTTCTTTTCAGCTGCTCTTATGCCATGAACTATATCATAGTACATGCTTACCTAATAGTAGATGGGTGGATAGATTGATGCCAAGTCATAACATCAGAATTTCTTAGGTAGAACTTCTTCATTGGAGCAAAGCATAACTTTACTTTGACAATGTTAGCGGAAAACATACTGTTCTAACATGCATCTGAAAAAGGTTGAAAACAAAGGTTCAGACAGAAAGCAAACTTTCAGAACCTCAGAATGCTTTCATACCGGTTGCATGCTTCCTCAAGATAAAGGCACATGATTATCAATAGCATCACCGAATTATCCCGGACCATTTGCAAATATCATGATTTAACTATTGGAAGGCGGGTCAGTAGCAACTATTACTGCTTCAGTTACATCCTAACTTTCCTAGGCAATAAAATTCCATTAAAACATTCTACAGGTACTGGCAATTATTAAAATCAAGAGTCAACAGTTGGCCAATGAGTAAAAGTACTAGCTTCAATTCAACTCCAATTTAGGGGCACAAGCATGAGTCACTCTCTCAGAGCAAAATTCTCGTCCTTATCAAGGACCTATACATCACAGCTCCAAATTTTGTTGAGTTGACACACACCAAATTATACAATTTTACACGCTAAAATGCTGACCACATGCAGATAGAACCTAGCCATAGAAAATATAATACTAAGAGAAAGAAGAAAAAGGCTTCAAAGAGTGATAACAAAGTTTAGTCCTGTATCCTCCACCACAAACTCCTTATCGTCATCCATTCCTAGCTGACGAGTGACAACCTCACCTCACCTCACCTCACCCCGAAGACGGCGAGGATGGGAATGCGTCCTTGACGGCGGAGGCGGCGGTGAGGTAGTTGAGCGTGTTGCGCAGCGTGTCCCGCTCCCTGCGCAGCCTGGCGGCGGTGTCCTCGAGCTCGAGGAGCGCCTGCTGCTCGCGTGGCGCGCCCTCGAAGGTGTTGCCGACGTAGAAGGAGAAGGGGGTGGGGAAGAGGCCCCTGCGCAGGTCCCCGACCTCCTTCTCGGGCTTGCCGTTGAGGCGGTTGGCGATGCGTATGACGTCCCGCATGAGGGCCTCGACGTCGGTTGCGAGCGCCTCGGCGTCCTCCCCGGGTGCCGGGGCCTCGGCGGGCGGGCGGTCCTCGAGCCACTGGACGGCGGCGACGAGGTAGGGCTTGGTGCGCACGACGCGGGCGACGCGGAACCGCTGCTGGCCCTTGCAGATGAGGAAGAACCGGTCGTCGGCGAGGCGCTCGTGCTTGACGACCTCCCCGACGCAGCCCACCTCGGCGGCGGACCCGGAGTTGCCGGCGAAGACGATCCCGAAGCGGAGGTCGGTCTGCAGCACCGTGTGCATCATGATGCGGTAGCGGTACTCGAAGATGTGCAGCGCGTGCGTGGCGTCCGGGAAGAGCACGAGCGGGAGCGGGAACAGCGGGAGCTCCACCAGCCCGTCGTCGGACTCAGGGGGGTACGGCTCCGGCGACGACGGCCCGGGCCCGGACGCGCCCGCCGCCGCCGTGGCGAGGCGGCCGCGGCCGCGGCCGCGGCCCCGGGTGCGGGAGGCGGAGGCATGGAGGTGGCGTGGTGCTCGGCAGAATGCGCGTGAGGGGGAGGGGTAGGGGGAGGCGGCGGTGGCGGCGGCGGTGAGGCGGGGGTGAGGAGAGTGGAGGATTTGGGGGAGGAGAGCCATTGGGATGGGGATGGATCTTTTTCCCCGCTTCCCCCGGCGGCCTAGGCAGGGGAAATGTTTGTTGGAAATAAATTGGGTGGACCCTGGGTGCACCGGCTTTTTCGTGCGACCCTGCGTAGATGGCTGACACGTGAACAAACAAAACAATCAAACGGCCGTTGGTTTCAGTCGTTTAGCATCCCAATCATGCATGCACATCGACTAAGTTAATGCGGATAACATGCACATGAAGTAAGACGTCCGATTTTCTTCACTGGCCACGTGTCAAACATCCATGATGCGGTCTCACGGAAAAGCTGGTGCACCCAAGGTCCACCCAATTTATAGTGATGTTTGTGTGGCTTTCGGGGCGCTTTTGCGGTTCTGGTGGGGTGATTTTCACGGCGGGGTTTGAGCGACCAGGGCCAGGTGAAACACACTGGCTTTGCCGGTATTAATGTGTTAATTTGTGCGGAGAATGGATTTTGCGGCGGGGGACTGGGGATTTGAGGCTGAGGAAGAAGAGGGCGTGGGGCCCGCAAGGCCGCAACGGGATTGATATGATGGCGTCAAGAAGGCCACGTGGGGGTTTATCCACCTGTTGCTGTGTTGCATGCACGTTAGGGCCTTGTTTAGATTGCCTCAAAATTCCAGGTTTTTTCACTCTCTTTCTATCACATCAATTTTTGGACGCATGCATGAAGCATTAAATATAGAAAAAAAAAACTAATTACACAGTTTGGTTGTAAATCACGAGACAAATCTTTTGAGTCTAGTTAGTCTATGATCGAACAAAGTTTATCAAATACAAACGAAATGTGCTACAGTGTCAAGACCTAGGTTGTGCGTGGCAAAAAGCTTCCGTGGCGAAATTGGCCGGGCTTGGATGTGGAGCACGACACTTGGGCCAGCTACGAACCTCGGTTTCGGAGCAGGTTGTGTTGGGCTGGCCTGCTGTGTTAACTGGGCTCATGAATGCGTCACTTGAAGAAACTGTACTATTAAGTCCCGTACAAAATTGAGGGGTTAGGCTAATGTAGAAGCAGAATTGAGGTAATGGTAGCAGAAAGGCCAGCGTCCGGAAGTCCGGAGGGGGGGGAGGCGTCCGGACACCCACACCTCACGTTTGCTTCACATGGGGTCCCTCGCACCTCCTTGTCCCCAGGCCCGGCCCTGGGGGGTTCGAGCTATGCCACCGCACTGGGCCCTCGACCCCAAGGGGCCCAACCCCATATGTGAAGGTATAGGTATAGTATTCCCTGACCCATAGAAAAATTCAGGAGCCCAAGACTCCTTGCGTGTAGCGTCGACTGGCCCCCATGATTCAGCGTCCGCGTCGTTTAGTTCTTCGCCTTCATTGCCATGGCTTTCTTGATTCTTCCCGCTTCAACCTTCGAGAGCTCAAGCTGCCGTCGCATCGTGGCATCGCCGTCGCCGATAGCTATGCACCCGTTCGTCGCGGCAATGACCAGCGTCCACCGGGCGGCGGCCACGCGGCGTGTCCCAGCCCACTCGGTCTCTCCGTTCGAGCGTTCGGGAGGTACCAATTGCCCTAAGCCCTTGATTGATGTATGTCAAGAATATATATGTTAAATCAATATTTAAGTTTTCTTTGTCTCCAATCTTTAATCTTTAGAATACAAGACTTGGCGTCTTGGCCACTTGGGACTCCTCTGAAATTGTGATTTGGGATTTCTTGTGCAAAATAGGGCGTTGAATAATCATTTTCTCTAGTCCTCAACCTGGTAATTTACTAGCACTCATTTTTTATTATGATGTTGGATTCAATCTAGTATGACATATTTTTCATATATAAATTTACTATTTACTGGTGAACTCATGTTGCCCAAAAAGCACGATCCGGAAGTGAGAAAAAAAAAAAAAAAGAGAAGGATAGATGACTTGATACAATCACAAAGAGAAGCTATTGATAAAGTTTTTAAGAGTAATACAAGCACTTCAAAAAATCTAGATGAGTGGGCAATAATTGCTGTGGAGGAAATGACTTCGCATCGGTAAACGTTAGATGAAATTTTTAAGGTAAGATATATAATTTGTTTGATAAACATGTTTTTTATGTATTACACTTATTATAAACATCATTATATCATTAGAGTTGTATTAAGGGTCTATTTTAATGGCTTCGCTCCAGGCCTATAAATTGGGAGGACCGGGCCTGCTTGTCCCACGCCGCTCCACGCTCCACGCCTACTCCGTCTTGATCTGTGCCCGTATGGTTTTCCACGGTTGCCGCTTGCACACCCCTCCACACCCATGTGCATGCAGGCGGGCCCAGCGACTGCAGAAGGTGGCTGCTGCAGATGGGGTCTACTCAACACGTGCAACACCAGATCTACTTTTGCAACATCTAGACGAAAACATTTGCAACATAAGTCCAAAACAGTTGAAACACTTGCAACATACGTCTGAAACACGAGGGAAACACATGTGTAGCCATTGTAAAATATATGCAACATCTAGATGAAACACTTACAACCTATGTGTGAAAACATATGCAACATCCAGACGAAACGCATGCAATATAAGTGTGAAACATATGCAGCACCAAATAAAACACGTGCAACATCCGTCTGAAAACAACTGGAAACATTTGGAACAAACGTTTGTGTATAACCATTGCAACATATGCAACATTCCAATCTACTTTTACAACATCCACATGAAACACTTAACATGCGTATGAAACATCTGAAACACTTAGAAACATACGCTTGCAACACGCGCTTCCAACATCCGAGGAAAGAAGGGAGCATGAGGTGTAGCCGGAGAAGCCCGCTATGGGTCTATCCACTCCAGATCTTGTGATGTCAAGAGATAAGGTCGAGCATCGCGGTGGCGCCGGCGTCGACAGCGGCCACGACCTCTTGGTGGAGAACGACGATGTCGGCGGCACCTCGACATGGCGAGGGATGGGGCACAACGCATAGGGGCGGGGACCGGGCACGGCGTGAAGAGGCGGAGTGGGCGTGGAAAGGGATGGAGCACGGTGCGGCGACAGGCGTGGCGTGGCGACAGACGTGGCACGGCTTGACTCGGGATGGGGGCTCCACCGTGAGGCGCCTTGGGGCGGGCGAACGGCGTGGTGAGCCGCGACGAGCGAAGCGAGGAGTTGGGGATTTCTGTCGGCTGATGTGGTGTAGATGGAGTAGATAGAGGAGAGAGAGCGTAGATGGGCCTGTTAGGCCGGTCGTTGTGCTTGAGCGAGCGCGAAGCAGAGCATCTTATTTTTTATGATTCTAGACGTAAGTTCTGTAGCATTACCGTAACGGTAGCGGTCTAGCTATAGCATATTAGAAGACATAATGATTTTTAGAAGTTATTGTGAGGACCTAATGGGCGTCTGATGGTGTAAGTACGGATGGTAGCGAGGTGGTTTTGGGTTGGGTCTTGCAATTTCTAGGTCTAGCAGGTGCTGTTGTGGGGGCAATTATTTTTCACCTACCGTTTTCGGGTTTAGGGACCCAAAACCTATAGGGTTCGGTTTTGAATTTCAGTTTCCATCAACAGATGGAGACCCAAAATAGACCATTTTAAATTAAAACACATGGGTAGTGTTGGGTTTATAAACTCAGGGTCCCTCATGGACCTGCTTCCCAGCAAAAGCTCGGCCCAGTAGACGACGTTGCGAACGACGCGCAACTCCTGGGCCAGCCCAAAAACCTAACGACATGCCAGAAGGGCGATCCAATCTTCGACCGGAAGGCCTGACCAAGGAGGAATGGCACCCGCTTCTGACTCTAGCCCGCCTCTCCGACCGGAAGGCCTCGCTTCCGACTCCGGCCCGCCTCTTCAACCGGAAGGCCTGGCCAAACAACGCTTCCGACTCCGACCCGCGTCTCCGACCGGGGATACACCGAACCTCTGCTTACAGCTCTTCTCCGACAGGCGCAGTCGGAGCCGACTGGGACCAACCGACCGGGGACGCCCGCTCGGTGAGGACCAGGAAACGAACAGAGCAAGTAAAGCAGGACGCTCAAGTCAAACCACAAAACCAAGGACCGTACCCTGTACACCTGTAGGACAGTACCGATAGGACATGTCCGAAGGGTGCCCTGCAACCTTCCAAGCATGTCAGAACCCAAGCAGTGTTGTGGGCGCCGATGATTTACCCTACAGTGTTGTGGGCGCCATCAATTCCCATACCAGGAAAACACGGTAAAACCCCCCACATGCCTCTGGGCATCGATAGTATTGTGGGCGCCGTCATTTGTCCTACATGGTGAATACGGTAAAACTTTCCACATGCGTCTGACACAAACAGTGTTATAGGCGCCTACCATCATCTTGTACCTGACGGCGTGGGCAACAAGACTTAGTAGCATATGAACTCACACACTCTCTCTCTCACTTGTAAAGGTCATCCTCTTCATCTATAAAAAGGGATGTGCTCTCTCCCAATGGGGAGATAAATCGGACGACAACTGAAACACGCTCCAACGATCCGAACGACCAAGGATTCCAATAAACAATAGACGTTTGAACACTTAGCACACAGCGGAGCTCCCATCACTCTCAGCCCTTCAGACCAGAGTTCGATCGGACCTCTTGCACCCCCATCTTACTCCCTTTCGTTTGTAACCCCACAGCAAACTTCGAGCATCTAGGCTCAGGAATAAAGTCACCGACCGACTCAAACTGGACATAGGGCACGTTGCCTAAACCAGTATAAACCCTATGTCATTGAGTGCTAGGCCACATCCGATCACAACGTACAACAAAACTATAAATATTTACGTGTTGGTCACTTTCTGCACCGACAGGTAGTATTAATAAATTGTTTATATAAAAAGTTACGCATTGTAAGGATCTTCCCCACAGTTTTTCTTCGGTCAAAAAAATTGTTTATATAAGGTACTAAGTTTGTTCTAAGTTGAGTCATGGAATTGTATATTATTGTTTGTTGCCTCTTATTTACACATGTGAATATGTATATATCATCCATGTGTTGCAAAAAAATCCTTATTGCTCTTATTGTATTGCCATGTAGTGGTGATTTTTGA